GGCTCATGAAATCCATCCCCAGGGGGCAGATAAAATCAGCTGCAAGTTGCAGAGAGGAGACAGGAGTTCCCCAAAGTGTCCAGCTTAATGGGGGGAAACAGGTAGGAAGGAAAGAGGGAGAAGTCAGACTCAGGGAGGGGGACATGAGAGGGGCTGGGAGGAAACCAGGAAAGAGCTGGAAGTGAAGGCAGGGGAAGCAGAAGAGGGAGAGAAAGAGACAAGGACAGATCTGCCACATGAGTGGAAAATTACTTTCTGCATGCTGAACAAAGGAGGAATAGAAAGCTTTGTAGTCCATGATGCTGCTGGAAAGCCCCCCAGGCACCACCAGCATCGCTGCCCAGGAGAACAGCGGAGCGACAGCCATGGGGGTTCAAATGCCGTTGCTTCCCAATCCTGGTTCTTGCGGAAAGCAAGCTGTGAGCTCACTGCCATTGCTGCTCAGCCCCATGGATCCAGATGGGCAGGGAGGGTGTTTCCAGGCAGCATTGGAGCTGGCCACCATGGCAGATCAAACCAAAGGCTGAGAATCAGCACTGGGATGTGAGGAAGATGAGTGGGACAGAAGGATGCAGCTGGATGGGGAAAGCAGGATGCTCGGGAGGCTTGTCGCCCAGATGGGCCCAATTGCACTGGGACTGGATGTTAACACTAACTCTCTAACAAGCTTCTCAAATCACATTTTTTAAGGCCATGTGTTAACAGAAAACAACTGTTCAAATTTAGCAAGTTCCAGCAGCACTTTCACCCTTGTTCCGTCTGGGCCGCAGGAGTACGAAACGCCACCACCACTTCATTTTTCATTCCTCTCACAAAGGGGCAGAGCTGTTAGTCATGCAAGTGGTTGCCTTGGACAATCCCACGCAAGCAATCCCAGCAGGATTTCCCCATGTGTGACTAACTGCTCCTCCTGGGAGGCCAGAGATTCCCATTGGGAAGGTAAAGGACCCCACATTTTAGGGGCGGAGCTGTCTGTAATCTTAACTCCACAGCCACCACTGCTGTCCCCACAATGTATTTTTAAAATCAAAATCCTTCTGCAGGACAAGTGACCTGCTCGTCTCCCTCTGGCCTTTACTGCTCTGGCTACTCCTGTTGACATCTGTGACAAATTCGTGATCGATGAAACCAAGCCGTGAGCAGCACAAAAAATCTTTATAAAACCCTGCCAGGTTAACGGGCAGGCGTTCCTTGGGAACGCTGCTCATGAAGAGCCAGCTCTGCGTGACTCCACGGGGACGGCATTTCTGGAGGGAACATCTCATCCCAGCTTACCCTGAAGCACATCAGCCACGGACAAAACACCTCCTGTCACCTAAAACGCTGGGGGGACAGAGCAGAGGGACCTTTGTGCAACTTTTCCTTCAGTTATTTGGCCTGGTGGTAGAGAATGGGCTCAGTCTGAACCTTTCCAGCTGGTTCAAGAGCAAACTGGTCCCTTGGTTCAGTATTTCCACAGGGGGATAGCCCAAGCCAGGCTCTGTCCCGCCGGCCCCCCTGGCTGTGTGTGTGTGTACCTGCATGTGCGGCACAGCAGGACCCCTTTTCTCATTTAAACAGCCAATTAAAGCCTACTTTGGCACTTAGCACATGACATCAACTTGCAGTACTTAAGCTGCCTAGCACAGTGTGAATTTAATTTGATAAAGGGGCAGCTAATAAAGATCTTGGAAGGCTGGTTAAAGTTCATTAAGCCTTTCCTTTCAAGGTACACTTCCCTCCAGTGCAAAGGCTTGTGTCTACTTTATTTTATTTTTTATTTTTTTTAAAGCTCTGTTATATCCTGCCACCAGAAAAAGGTGCTTGTGTCACATCCCGACAGGGTATATTTAAAGTCTCACCGTCAAAGTCATGGCAGGCCTTGGTTCTTTGCCCAGGAATGTGCAGAAAGAAAAATAAAAGCCTTTTTCCCTGAGTGAGGGGCGAGGAGTGCGGTGTGTGTTAGTGCAGGCAGGCTCCTGGGAGGGGAATGGGCTTCTGTCACACTGAGCTGCATTCATCCTCCTTCTCCTGAGCCATCCCTAATTCCAGATGGATTTCATAAACAGATGAGGAGGCTCCTCTGAGTTCACTGGTTTAATGAAGCCCGTATGGCTGACTCATGTAATAAGTATTTAATCATGTCGATGAAAATAATTTTAAAAACTTCCACCACACACAGTGCCTGTTCCCCACTCAGCCATGGAGCTGATAACACAGCAGTACAGCCAAGGAACCTCCTTTTTCCAGAGCCTCTCCAGGTGCCTGCCTTGATTTTCACCAGAGACTTATGTTTGCATGTATTGTGCAGTGCCACCTCCTAACAAGGACCTGTTCACCTTTGAAAATACTCATCAAATCACCCACTGAAGTGCCACAAAAGGAATTTTTTTTAAGCCCCACATTCCCCATGCAGCTGCCTCAGAGGTCACTCAAGGGTTAACACTTTGGTGTTTATATCTCCTCATTAGTTTCTGTTTGTGCTCACAAATGCCCATGACTTAAAAATTTGCTGTGCTTAAGTGGTCTCCATTTGTAAAGGAAGAAATGCCACAAAACATTGCAAATAGTGAGTCATCTCGGGTGGAAATTATTTCTCTTGTCAGCAGAAGTCATCATCAGTGACAAGAAGGACACGGGCCTTCATCATTTCCCGAGCATGCACCTAAATGAACACGTGTCAGCCCATCCATTGTGTGGCACCTGGTAGCCCACACAGTTTCAGTACATTTCAGGCTATCTCCCAAAATTCAGTCCTCCTCCTCTCCTCTCCTCTCCTCTAGAGAAAACCTGGAGTCAATGGTGCCTTCCAGAGCAGGCTCCATGCAGAGGGTGGGGGTGACACTCCCTGGGGGCCTTACACTTGTTCTCATGTGCTATTGTCACCCAAACAGTCCCATGTGGACTAGAAGAGTCAATGTCAAGATTTGAACTTATTCTTTTGGGGAGCAAGGTCCATAAATCAGTACTTGGAGAGTCGGGAAGGGCTGGAAAAGTCAGTGAGGTCTGAGAGAAAGAGAGGCTGCCTTGTGTGGGCTGTAGCTCTGAGAAAGTTCAAGGTGCTCTGCCAGGTATTTTCCCATGGAAGAGTTTTTTCCCATGGAAGGCTGAAGAAATAAACATCAAGTTCAGGTCTGGATTCATTGCCATGTTTGCCCTTACCAATACATCAGTGTTCAGCAGGTCCAGTCGCTTCTTCTGAGAGCTCTGGGAAAAAGAAGATGATGAACCCCATAGTGTCCTGCACAGGCTCCCAGCTACAGACAGAGAGAAGTTTTAGTAGATCAATCCAAATTTGTTGAATTAGACTTAATTTTAAGTGTTGTGGGAAAGGTCATTTGAATGCCTTTGATCTGTAAAATAATATTTTCCAAATTCTAGAAATGTTGAAAGCCAAAGGTCTGTTTGCAGTATGTTATCAGTTTCAAGGTTTCTTATAACCTGACAAAGAAAAGCCTTATTTTATGACACGACACCAGACAACATTCCACTGTGTGTCATTAACAGTTAATCTACTTTTGTAAGCAATTTATTTTTCAAATCACTGAAACGTATCACAGTGTTCATGCCTTCAGAAAGAGGGTTTATTTTAATTTCCTTACTTCTCTTCGCAATAGCCATTTTTCACTTCTAAACATGCAGATATGTTGAAAAGATACCAGTACAGGTTGAACAGTAGAAAGTTGACTGTGATCCTGTTTCATTCACCTATAAAGAGTCTGCCGAGGAATTACCCCATGCTTTCTGATTGAGGTGCCCTTCATGCACAGCTGCTGCTATAGATAGTTGTGCTTTTGGTGTTTAAGTCTTCAAGGCTGGGAAGCTTTGAAGACTGGGAAATATTCTGGTTGATTTTGCCTCATATTGCTCTAGCATTGAGATTTACACAGCTCCAAGTAGTGGGAGTGTTACGGTCCTTAGAGGCTTGATAAGGAAATCCAGAGTTCACTTTACACAAATGTTTCATCCTCCTGTTCATGAGCTTACGAATTTTGGAGCAGTAGGTTCAGACTCTGCAAATGCAGGAATTCTGTACTCCTTCTAGTGTCTCACTTCAGAGCACCTAATGAAGATGTCACCGTGACTTTTCAGAGGAGCACCTTAAACATAAAAACACTGGAACAGTGGAAAGGTCTCAATTTCCTCGGTTATGACTTCCAACTCCGGAGCTAAAGGACACCAAAGAGAGAGTTTAATGCCTATAAATCCTGCAGTGTGAACTGATTCATGGCTCAGATAAAGTGCCCAAGCCCCTAAAGAGTCAGCAGAACAACCCTTTAAAATACAGTTTGATACTATTGCTGGAAACTTTAACCCACTGGCTTCACACTCAGGAGGGTTTAAGCTGCAAATGGCAGGAGACGATTTATGTGTTCCTCTGAACAAAATACGTCAGGGTAGGAAAACTTGACCCGACGGTTTTGAGAGGTGCCTGCCATAAATAACCAGTTGATTGGCTGGCCCATGAAGCCATTAGCAAGCGTGAGGTGCCTGCTGGGATTCAGACACCGCATAAAATGCTGGAGGTGCCAGCAAAATGGTCACGGCAATTGGCTACGCAGTCGCCTTCCAGCAGAACTGCTCGGGAGGGCTCGAGGAAAATGGAGCGGCTTTTATCCCACTCACCTGGCACCGGAGCTCTGGAAGGGGATTGTGAGTGGGATCCAGTCTGTCGTGGGCAAAGGGGAATGTGAAGAGAGATAAAATGACCACCTTGTGCCTGAGCAGTAAATCATCTGAAAGAGCAGGAGTGTTTCAAATGAAGTTGGAGATCCTGCCTTGACAGGTTGGAGACGATGAGTCTTTTCTGCTGTAAATCACCACAGCTGCCAAGTGGTACTGGTAGGTCTGAGCTAGCGGGGCTTTCCAGCCCCTGAAAAGTGGCAGCAGGAGTTACAGGAGAAGGGAATTTGATGACTCAAATCACAGGCTGTCAGGAGAGAGGGTCAGGGTTTGTTTTGGTTGGACTCTGTGGTCCTTGTGGGTCCCTTCCAACTCAGCATATTCTGTGGTTCTGTGATACTTTCTGAGAATGAGCCATTTTTACCTTTTCTGTCCCCAAAAACGCATGTGATGCTCCCATCTTCCTCGCCACTGCTGCAGCCACGTTTTCTGGACTTGGGTTGACCTTTTTGCACTGTCCCACCCCAATGGAAAGGGAAGAGGTAAGAGCAGTTGATGTCCCCTGGAGCAGTGCCTGACAGGTCTTTCATTCTGGAGAAGAACAGGCAGGAGGAAGCAGAGCAGACATGATGCTAGTCTACTCCAGACACTCGTTTACACCTATCTTAGACACCTGCACATTGCAAATGAGTAGAAATCTGGGTGTAAATGGCTACATAAACAGCAGGGTAATGATGAACCAGAGCCAGTTCCTCAGGGAGGCTGCGGCTTTGGGCACAGTCCTTTAACAAGCAAAGACAGGAACTTGTTCCTACATCAAACATGAGATGAAAAGTGATGGAAAAAGGGGAGAAAAAAGAAATCAGTTAAATATTTCCTATCTCTGGAATATGGAAAGAGGGGGGGATCACAGCTCAGGCGGGATGTCTCTGCTATCAGGATGAAAAGAGAAGAGAAGGTCAAGGGAGAGGGACTTTCTGTCTGGAAAACACAGAGGAAGGGCTGACAAATACTTTGAATTTATTCCTTTTTTTTTTTTTTTTTCTGGTTGTTCCTTTTTTGGACTGAAATCAGCCTTAGGCAAGGGACAGGAGGCAAAAAGCTGTTAGTATCTTGCTTCTGTTTTGTAGGCAGTAGCTCCTTAGACTTCATGGGCTTGTCATATAAATTGGGAAGATAAGAATGATCATCTTTGATAGGAACAGGAGCTCAGCATCTCACCTCTGACAGTAGCAAGTAATAAATGCTTTGGAAGCAAGTGTTAGAAAGGGAAGAGCAGTTGTCCCACACCCAGCCAGCTTCCAGCCCACAGTAGTTCAGGGTCTTCTGAAGACAGATGCTGTATCCCCACGGCTTCTCCAGTGAACAGGCACTGTTTGCGCTGTTTTCCTCGAGTTTGGTTGCTCCTATCCTTGGAAAGCTTTAGCCCCCACAACATCACTATCAAGGTGTTCTGCAGTGCCACAAAGCCTGGTAGAAAAGAGAGTGGAGGGGCAGACACTGATCTCTTCTCCCTGGTGACCAGTGTTAGGAACTGAGGGAATGGCCTGAAGTTGTGTCAGGGGACGTTTAGGTTGGATGTTAGGAAAAGGTTCTTCACCAGAGAGTGTTTGGGCACTGGCACTGGATTTCCAGGGAAGTGGTCACAGTACCAAGGCTGTCTGAGTTGAAGAAGTGTTTGGACAACGCTATCAGGCACATGGTGTGATTCTTGGGGATGGTCCTGTGTAGGGCCAGGGGTTGGACTTGATTATCCTTGCAAGTTCCTTCCAACTCAGGATATTCTATGATTTTATGGTAGTTCCTTTTGCTTCCTTTAACCTTGCTGTCTGGCAAGCACTTTAGGCACCATCTAGTCCTGGTTTTATGGGATAAAGTGGATAATGGCTCCATGTTCACTTCATAACTGCTGATGGCTCAGTCCACATCCCTTCCTTCCTCACTTTTTTCCAAGTGTCTTACTCTCTTTGAACTGCCCATTTTTTGGAAACCGAACACTACGCTTTGAACAAATATTTTGCTACAGGAGAGAAAGTACTTGCTTTTGGAAGTGTCATTTTAGTACACACAGCACAAATATTTATAAATACATACCTGAGCACAGACAGGGCACTTGTCAAAACACATTCAAAGGATACCTAGGTTCTTTCATGTATTACATACTCAGAGTGAAAATAACCAGCTATATTTAACCCAGATCCAAGCCCAGACTAAATTATTTCAAAGGTCAATTAAAGAACAGAAAATATCACTAGCTAAGAGACAAAAAGCTCCCATTCATCCGCAGTTCCAAGAGCTCTCACGGAACTGAAGCACAGGATGAGAAATCGTAATTAGGTACCATTTCACATAAAAATCATTGACAACTCCAAGTTCTGTACCTGCCAAGACCTGAATTCAGATGACTGCATTTGGCCTACAGCAGTTGATGGAAACTCCATCACTCACCACGCTGATGTAGTTGTTTGGAAACCAACGGCCCCTGGCAGGGAAAACACATTTCAGCTTCTGTTGAATGACTGCACATATGAGGAGCAGGAGATGAGACAGACCAACAGCCAGTGTTCAAATTCGGATTATGTTTTGGCTGGTGCTTAAAGTTCAGGTCTGAGGCCAAGTGGAGGCTAGAATTCAGCCTGCAATGTAATCCCGAAATCACATGGGCTCTTCTCCTCAGGTATTGGACTCGGTGGCAGAGACCTGGGGGTATTTTCTCCCTTGAGATTGTGAGTCCATTGGTTTGGCTGTGCTTGCTGCATTCCTGTTCTTTGGCCCTGTGTGAGACAGTTCTGGAAAACTCTTATTTGACCACAGCTGGAAAAGAAAGAGAGAAAAAAACACCCCAAGCCAAACCCCACAGATCAAATTTGTAGGACGGGTTTGAACCGCAGGGCCCAGTTTTTTTACCCTGACAGTCTGCATGATCTCAGCACAGAGATCCCACAAACAGGGGAGGGAAGTGCTTGGGGAGCTGAGCTCCTGCTTCCATCACCCAGCCCGAGCCAGCAGGCGATAGCAGCCCGACCAGGAGAGCAGTGAACGCAGCGAGCCAAATCCCTGAAGGAACTCTGAGATTTATTCTCTTTGGCTGCTTGGAAAAGCTGTTTCCAGAACTTTACTCAACACCTTCCTTCAACCTCAGAACACCTCCTTGGGTAAACATAATAACCTTCCAGGCCTGGGCCTTACACGGAACGAGATCACTTCACATTTGGATGATATTTAGCGCAGGTCACAGTTTAAAATGCCATCAAAGATACCCGTAAGGGCATTCACGTTTCAGCTTTGCCACCAGCCCTGAGGTGAGGACACCCCAGCATGGATTTGTGATGCACACCAGAACATTTGTTCAATAAGAAGGAACAATGGCCCAGCTCCATTTCTTGTGTAGTCTGCAACTCCCTAAGGTGTCTGACACACTGGGAACCCACGCACAACACAGTGATGGAAAACTTGGAGACCAAATGGAAGCGAAGAAAAGCCCTTGGTGTAATTTTACAGCGTGTGAAAGACTTAAAGCAAGAAACACAGCCAGATGCCACAAGGAAACTACTTTCAATTAGTTCTGCTTTGTGTTATACCTACTGATGAAAAATAAAAACAAATTCATTCTGTCAACAGCTCTATCTATAGCATAATCCTTAAATGAACTCATCCGTCAAACTGGTCTCCTCTGGCAAAACATATTACAATCCCTGTTTCTCAGCTGTGAGAATCAATCATCTCTTTCCCAAACCCATTGGTCAACATCTTAAGAACCCAATATATTTTTATTGCGCAGAACAAGCCAATCACAGGGCACCAACCTCAGCACGCCACCCATGGACGAGGGCCTCATGTATTAGCAGACTCAGTGATTCCAGAAGAGCTATTTCCCTATCAAGGAAATGTGGTAAATGTGCCTGATCTGGAGTAAATGCAAACCTCAGCCTTCTTGCCCCAGCAGTGTATGTGGGATGTGCTGCTGCTCACAGCTGGGCAAAGCAAGAGCACTGAGGAACAAACCAGATTTTTTCTGGAGGGACCGTTCCGAGAGTGATGTTTGAACCAGGAGACACAGAGACACAGACTTGCACTTTTCAGCGAAAGCTAATGGCTCTGTTGAAGCTGTGACAGAACCACCCCACCAAAGTGCTGGCAGCATTCAGCAGCATTTACAGTGTTTCTGAGTGGTGAATGTTCCCCATCCTTCACGCAGGAGGACCCTGAAGAGGGCTGATCTCTTCCCAGTGCTCTGAAGGTTGCTACCACTCAAGAGCACACCCTCCTCCCAGCAAAGGAATCCTGTGAGAAGGAGACCTACTCTCACTCCTGTGCTATCAGTGGAATTGTAGAGGCACATTCATACTTCATTCTGGATGCACAAAGGGATGTAGGTGTGGGGGTTTCCAAGGGTTTTGGTGCCCAACCTCCCATGCCAGGCCAAGAGGCAGAATTGGCCAAGTTGAGATGATAAAGCAGAGCAACTTTTTACATGGGCAGATAGTGATAGGGCAAGGGTGAATGTTTTTAAAATAAAAGAGGTGAGATTTGGAACAGATAATGGGAAGGAGCTCTTCCCTGAGAGGGTGGTGAGACACTGGCACAGGTTGCCCAGAGAAGCTGTGGCTGCCCCATCTCTGTGAGAGTTCCTGTCCAGCTTGGATGGGGCTCTGAGCAAACTGGACTAGTGGAAGGTGCTCCTGCCCATGGTAGGGGGTTGAAACAAGGTGGTTTTTAATGCCCCTTCCAACCCAAGGTACGAGTTGTGCTCTGCATGAGCCACATCAGGATAGAATGCTCAGAGAACAACTTTAGTTACAGCTGCTAAAGGCTGAAATGTGCCTCAAAGTCATCCCTGAAATCCCATTTCTCAGCAAGACTCACTGGTGCTGTGAGCAGACATGGTACTTTTGGCCTCATGATATTGGCTGTTAGAAAAAATCCATTAAAAGCGAAATGCAACCCCAGGGTGTTTCTTGCAGATATATTGGTTGAGAAAGGTGAACTGAAGCAGTGGTTTTACCTGAGGCAACCCTATGAAAGCTTATTACTTAGCTGTATTTTAACTAATGAAGTGGTAACTTTTATGAAATTTACTGGGAATCCCTCAAAATAATTTATGACACAGACACCAGTGCAGACATCCAAGGAATTTTGAGCAAAGCATATCCAGGACACCCTGGTCTTACTGTCCCAGCAACAGTACCAGCTACTCTTGGCATTGCAGGAGCAGCAATATCCGACTGATAATGTACTGGTTCAAGATAAACTTCCAATCATCTCCCATGGATTTCAGTTCCCTGGGGTATTTGAGAAATTTTTGCTTCTGGGTGTGAAATGTTTGGACATGAGTCTTGGCAAGAAGCCAAACCTTTCAGAAAGCTCTGGGTAACGTTTCCCTGAATTCTTGGGTGCAAGCAAAATGGCAGAGGACTCTCCCCACCACCAAACTGATATTACCAAGGTCTCTTATTGATGAGCTTGGATCAACAGGAAAACTGCACAGTGGAATAATTCCAAAAACACAAAAACACAGCAGGAAGTTGACTAAGTGATGAGGCTTAAAAAAAAAAGAGAGAGAGGGAAAAAGAACACTTTATCCACATTTTTAACAATATCAGAATTTATGAAAAGGCTGGGCTACCAGCAGGTTAGAGAAGAGCAAGGTATGTCCACAGTGTGGCAACCTACCTCTTTGGGAATGAAGACTGACCATGGCCAAACTCAAGGGAACTGTCTGCCCACACCAGCAGGTACTACATCTCCATCGCAGGGGAACACTGAAGTGTCCCTTTGGTGCATACAAATATCAATAAATTTCACTGCAGAAAGTAGCAAAGGCAACAAGACTCATTGCTTGGTGTGGATTTTGACAGCTCAGACGTATCTGCCCAGGCCTTCCAGAGCCGGCCGGTCTCAGTGCTGGGTCTGCGGAGAAGGAGGAAGGGAGGAATTTGAGCTGAAATCAAAGCCAAACTTCCCTGAGGAACAAAGCCACAGCTCCTGGATGTGGGTACACAGGGGGAATCTTGGGGCAGGCAGGTGCCTGGCCCATGGCAGTGCACAGGGACTGACAGGGATTTTGTCAGCGGAATGTCTCCTGTACCAATACCCCAGGGAGGAAATAAGAGTTGCCAGCAGAGCTGGCCAAAAAACAAAGCAAATGAGGCATGTATCACTAGAGAGTCAAATAATCCCTGTGCAGCAAACAAAGTCAAACTTAAGGAATGAAAGCTCACGGCTGGCAGGTGGTGGTTGCTGAGGGCACATGTGCTGTGGGACCAGCCTCTGGAAAGTCATCTGCTGTTCATCTTCCCTAAACCCAAAAACAACCCTCCCAAATCCCCTGGCATCACCATGGGGAAGCAGCCTTGGTATCTTTCCTCTGTAGAAGGAGACACACACACACACACACACACACACACACACACACACACAGAGCTCCCTACAACCAGCAGGAGGGTGTGTTTTAGCTCGCCCAGGAGCTCACTCCCTTCCTTATGGAAGGAACTGCTGTAATTCCCCACCCTGCACAGTGGGCTGAGGCCACCTGCCTCTCTTGCCCTCACTGGCTCATTGCTCAAAAGCTCATTTGTAAAGGGAGCTGAAAGACCTCACCAAATCCAAGTATCCAAGACCTTGATCCAGCCCCAAGCTCTGCTGCTGAGCTGGCGTTGAGCACCACGAGGTTTTTCACAACAATGTATTGAGCATGCCTTGGCTGTGCTCTTGCATGTCCCAGATCTGCTTTACAGTCACAAGAAGTAAAAAGATTTTTACTTCTGAAAGATGAAATTCTGGCTGCTAGCATGACCTCAGAGCCCTACAGCCTTTATATGATGCTCAGGCATTGCTAATTCCTTTGTTCATACTGCAGTGGTCAAAATTGGCAACATGGCACAGCTCTGTTGCCTACCCTGGGACTCCAGAGTCAGATTTTGGCACAGACCAATAAAAAAAAAAAAAACAAACAAAAAAAACCCCAAAAACCAACAACCCAAACCTCTTCATTGTCAAGCAGATACTTGAATTCTGAAGTAGATAGCCTGTTCTGTTCAAAGAAATTTGACAAATGTTTTTACCCTAAATGTTTTCAGAAAGTAAAAATTAATTATTGAGACAAGGCAGACACAGGAACCAACATCAAATCCAGACCCTGTTGGGATGAGCTGTCCCCCCAACACCCCCTGGTGTTTTCTCCATGGACAGAGGGGCTGGGGGGTTCTTCCTGGTAAGTGACTGCACTGCAGACCCCTTGCCCTCACTGTCAGGACATCTGTGTTCCCAATCCCTACATCCTGCTGTCCTTGGGGAGCTGCCCTGAACACTTGTGCCCTTCACATCCCCGGGATGGCGACCGTCCCCAGGCCCGGCGCTGAGACAAGCTATAAATACTCCTCCCAAGCTTCCCCCATCACTCAATCCCGTGGCACCCCGGCAGCGGCCACAGCCCCTGTGGAGCAGCCCACAGCCCCCAGGCCGTGTGGAAGCACCACCTGCTTCCCTCTCCCAGCGGGATGCCCACGGATGCTGCAAGTCCCAGGGGTGACAGGGCATCCCGCAGGCTCTCCCAGAGGCACCGGCAGATTAGCGGCTCTATTTTTCAAGCTGATCCTCTCCCACCCCCTCCGACTTCATTCAGCTTACAAGGATTTGAGAGAACTTGGCAGGATGGGCAGGATCTATATATAAAACCCGGTGGCCATTTCGTCAAACAAGCCCCGATGAGCAAATGGCCTCTGTACCTGGAATGCGGGTTCATGGAAGTGACAGGTCAGCAAAGCAGCTGCCTCTTTCCTCCCAGCACAATGGGGATAGCAGAGATGCCATCAGCACGAGTTTTTTCCTACCCTGCTGTGCACTAAAAAAAAAATTATCCTAGGAACATTATGGAGCAGGGAAGCAAAAATAGACATGCAGGTTCAGCAAATGGCTCTCTCCACTCCTTGTGATTCCACCTTTTTTTGCCAAGAATAGAAAGAAAAACAGTTGTGCCACCCTGTTAAACTCTGCTTGCTCAGCAGCTCCAGACAATGACACTTGCTGCTTTCCAAGCATGTTCTAAAAATCCTTCTAGCAAACTGGCTGTTCGTGTGGTGCCAAATAAACCAGAAAAGATGAAACTTTAACCAGACCAGCCTGGGTGGGAAGGGTCAAAACACTTGCTGCAATGGCCTCAGGTGAAGCTCAGCTTTGCTTATCACTGTTGGCAGCAGCAAAGCTTAACCACGTGGTAAAGAAAGCTGGAAGTAAGGTTTGCTTTGTTCCAGGATCTCCTGCCTGGAAAACCATCTCTGAGCCCCACGTGTGTCCCTGCACCAAGGCTGGGTGGGAGGCTGCTCCCAGAGAAGTTTTTTTGGCTTGGTGAAGCTCAGAAGAGACCAAACCAGCTGGAGCTGCTGGGATGCATCACAAAGCCCCGTGGCCGCTCTGCCCATGCAACGTGCCCGTCACACAGGGCTGAGAAGTGACAGTGGTTAAATAATCCCAGCGTTAATGCTGGTGAAGTAATTTCAGTGATGCAGCCTGGGAGGTGCCATGCTGGCGCTGGGAACATTCCCCTACCCACTGAGCCACCCTCTGGGGCTTTTTTGGACCCTTGGAGACAAGCAAGTGTGTTTATGTCCAGCTCCGAAGGGGCTGCGTGACAGGCTTTGACCTCAGGCTCTCCTCTGGTTTCCCTGAAGGAGGAGGATGAGGCTCCAAGATGGGTCACCACAATCGGACCATCATGGGGGGCGAGGGCAAGCCAGGCAACCATCACAGGGAGGCACAGGCAGTGAGACACAGAGGGTGACAGAGCAGAGGG